AGATTATAGGTGCATTATCCAAAAGAGCCACATTTCAATTTATTTTTGAGAACACGGGTCCATGCGAAGGAAAATCATTTTGGAACAGCGATTTAGCGATCAGAAGACTCACCGTAGCATTGCGGCTCTGTCCCTGACCACTGGCCACCATCCTGACAGACTCGCACTTTGGAACCAATCAAGCTCAATTTACTGTCACAGCGGTATGTGACTTTGTCATCAATGTCAAACATGTGGCCGGTTCGACTGCTACCAGGGGGAACGCCAGGATCAGGACAGTGATCAGCTGTGAGGATGCAACAAAACAACTAATTAAAGTGAAGATCTGTGGACCTTCCTGATGAAATTTGATTTGATTTGCATGACATCAGATAAAAACGCAACAGAATACACATCATACATCAGTACAACATTTCTTTAAGCTAAACTGAAGGGCTCGAGAATATACGGAGAGAAATACCAGGAACTTAATTAGAGTTTTTATATCCGATTAGTTCATGGAAAATGCTGGAAAAAAAACAATGGCAATTACTCACAGTCACGTCCACAGATTGGTGTGGTTCCATTCCATTTACCATTAGACTTGCAAACACGGACCGCCGAGCCACGGAACTTATAATCGGAATGACACGAGTAGGTGGTTGTGTCATTTACATAGTAGTAGTTTTTATATGGGGTCACCTCTCCATTCTCCAAAACACGAGGATTGGGACATGTGACCTCTAGAATAAAAGCATGAATAAACACATACTGTAGAAGAGATGTTTTGAAACGGCCTCAAATTTAAAATAATAAAAAATACATAACTCTGCTTTAAAATAGTTCAGCATTTATTCATGATATAATGACTCCAAATCAGGGTAACCATATGGGTGAATGTGATTTTACCTTGTACAACATGTTCCTGGATGTGCATGTTTTGGTGATGCTGGAACATTCCTGTCCAAAAATGTCCTTCATTTTACCCTACTAAACCTAACCATAAATTCTGCCTTAAAATCCAGTAGCACCTCATTGCAGTACACGAGATCCAGGGGGCAGAGTTGGATCCAGATGGTGGAGAAGGGTAGGATTAGGGGTGGGGTTAGGGATCAGGGGGTGAAGATGGGTAGGTTTAGGGGTGGGGTTAGGGGCGGAGATGGGTAGGTTTAGGTATATGGAATGTGGGAGGAGTTGGATCTGGATCCAACTCCTCCCCTTGGATTTCGTGTTCTGCAATAAGAACCATCTCCTAAAATCAGAGGGAAATTATAGGTGAATAACACAGATGTAGAAGAACCGAAACTGGTTTGTAAGCCTAATCTTGACATAAACTCTAAACGTATCCCATCAATCTGATCTGGTTGATTCATTGGAATGTTCAAGGATCAACAAAGCTGTTGATCAAGGCACATGTTTTACTTGGTGAAATCATGTTCACCCACATGATACTGTCTTGTTTCTTACTTTTGCACTCTGGGGGTTTTCTGGCACTAAGCTTTGGGGTCCAAACTCCATATTGACAACTCCGTGACTGAACAGACGGGTAGTATCCATCCGGACAGCTGTACGTTAGAACACTCCCCTCTGAATAGTTATTTGAAAGAACAAAGCCCCCTCCAACAATGTTTAGATTCTCCTCGGGACATAATCCGTTTATTTTGGACATGGAGGATGGAGCACCTAGAAACAATCAGATCATTGGAGGAGGTCACAAGAAAAAATACTTTGGTTGTGCTTTTATTTACAGAGAAAAAGCATACAGTAGGCCTACATACACAAGCCAAAATACAAATTTAGATTTTTTTGTGAGCTGTCTCAAAGTACCTTTATTTTTTATATATTCCTTTCATGCTAAAAGACGTTTTGTCTCTAAATTTTTAGAATGTATTTATCTTGATTAAGCAAAAAAGACTTACCTGTTATAAGAGGACATAACAATGCAAACATTAACCAATTCAACCGTTGCTCACACTCCATGCTGTTTATTCCAGTTCTTCAGCTGAGATGAAAAAAAAAACTGAAGCAAATGGACTGGGGGACATCTTTTATAGTGGGGTCAGCAAGAGGATTTTATTTACATACAGTGGTCAATGTTTCACCTGAAGTCAAATAAAACAAATCAATTTCCCGGCATACGGAACAAAATAATAACCGTAAACATCGTTATATATTCAAAAATCACAAAAGCGACCAAAAACAATTATGTTCATCTCCAACCATCATTCTATTTGCAATTTTTCATCAAATATACAGATGAAGAAAAAAGCACATTTGTTTGGGGAATCCTGAATATGTTTAGAGTTAAACACAATCATTTGTATTTCTTGGGTCCAGAGTACAGCTCAAATTCAAGGGGTCATTTGAGAACACTATTAAACTGCTTGCCCCATACATTAACACCAGCTTAATGCATCAATCATAGTATATAATCAAAGAACTAAACATTTTAACATTTTAGACTAATAATTAAATCATTTTGTAAAAGCTTTTGTATGCATAAAGCTATGTGCAATATTCATCTTTGGAACTAAATACATTTGTCATTGATTTTGCTGGTAATAATAAACCTGTCCTATTTTCATGGAACGTGTTTAAACTCCTGATTCCAAGAGAAAAAGAAAGACTTTGTTGCATTGTTGTTCATGGTTTGATTAAGTTTTGACACCACATTTTTTTTTTGATTGCTTTAGTAGAGTGAAGTTATTGAAATATTTTTTTAGAATATAAAATGTGCAAAAGCAGTGTAGGGTCACAATTGATGAGTAAACTGCATTGGGTGATTTGTAAAATTGAAGTTAATGACTAGTTTTATGTTTTTGACTATGAGTTGATGCTGTTGTCATTTTTTTCGGTTAAATTGAACTTTGCTCTGGAGATGGTCCCTTCGGACTTGTCTCTCCTACCGGTATCGCAGAGAGTTGGAGCTGTATGAGGCGCCGGACTGGACAAAAGCGAAGCGAACTGCGCGAGAGAGAACGAGCGTTTCAGTGCGCGCGAGAAAGGCCGAGTGTTTTGCGCGCGAGAGAGGCCGAGCGTTTCAGCGCGCGAGAGAGACCGAGTGTGTGCGGGCATTAGTACGTAGCCTAATTAATTGTACATTATATATTTACTATATAAGAGGCATGGAAGTTCGATTTATGGACAACAATAATCAGTACAAACGTCTTTTTTAACTAGTGTTTAGTTAACATAAATAATTCGAGCAGATAAACTTTCATAAGGAGGATTAAATAAGATTGAATTTATGTAGCCAGTAAGATTTCATAACTAATCACTGAACCATAACCAGATTTTTCGTTTCTTGGGCGTCAAATAAAATAACAATGACTCTGAATTGTATTCACCAAAATCGGGATGTTGTCTGTGCAAGTGTTTCCATGAGAGCACCAAATCGATAGGATAATGGCATCTGTGAGAAAGATGGTTAAATCTGCAAAGACTGCCTTTAAAGAGAATACAGCAAAATATCTAACTGCCCTGACTTGTAGGCCTATAGCTACAGGAAATGTTAAAGTGTTGTTTTGTTTTTTTTTTCGTTGTTTTTTTTTTGTCAAAGATGTTATAATCTTTAACAAAACGTTTAACATTATTTGACAAGCACGAATACACAAATACATGGACACAAAAGACACCGATGCACAGACACACACCAGTTAATTTTAATTGGATTTTTAATTAAATATTCGTTAAAATTTCTATTTTATGAAATTGTTGTGTTGTTGCTATATCACACTAAAGTCAATTACTGTTAAAAAAATAAATACAGAATTACATCATCAAAGTATGGTAAAGTCAGCTAAAAAAAGCCACGTTTTCTATGACCATCCAATAAGTCATGCATGACATCTAATGATAGGCTATTATTATAAATTAACATTAGTCTCTAAAACATATTGAATTTTTAAGCGCAATAATGTTAAAAATTATGAGTTAGAGTATCAGCAGGTACCTTCGTGAGCCATGGAACAACATTCAGGGGCCAATACAAATAGAACAACACAGGTAATTTCGGCTGAAATCACTTTATTTTAAACAGTAAATTGACACGGTTGTCTCTTGCAGATTTAACCATCTTTTTCACAGATGCCATTATCCTATTTGATGCTCTCATGGAAACACTTGCACAGACAACATTTGGTGAATACAATTCAGAGTCATTCTTATATTTGACGCCCAAGAAACGAAAAATCTGGTTATGGTTCAGTGATTAGTTATGAAATCTTACTGGCTACATAAATCTTATTTAATCCTCCTTATGAAAGTGTATCTGCTTTATTATAAATTATCTATATATAATTATTTATGTTAATTAAACACTAGTTAAAAAAGACGTTTGTACTGATTATTGTTGTCCATAAATCGAACTTCCATGCCTCTTATATAGTAATTATATAATGTACAATTAATTAGGCTACGTACTAATGCCCGCACACACTCGGTCTCTCTCGCGCGCTGAAACGCTCGGCCTCTCTCTCGCGCACTGAAACGCTCGGCCTCTCTCGCGCTCACGCACTGCTCGGTCTCTCTCGCGCGCACTGAAACGCTCGGCCTCTCTCGCGCTCACGCACTGCTCGGTCTCTCTCGCGCGCACTGAAACGCTCGGCCTCTCTCTGCGCACTGCTCGGTCTCTCTCGCACGCGCGCGCACTGAAACGCTCGTTCTCTCTCGCGCAGTTCGCTTCGCTTTTGTCCAGTCCGGCGCCTCATAGAGCTGGACGTCATTCGACTCCAGTGAGCCAGTGAGCAACCACACAGACTCGATTGGGACACAAAGACAGCCCAGGGAGGGCGCGATATTTTTTTTCACAGGATGGTAGGGGAAGACTCATCAATATTCATTAGGGAACTCATCCCTGATTGGTCTTAACCCCTGTGACGGGTGGGTTTAGGGGCGGGGTTGGGGGTAGGTCATCAGTCCTCAGTGACGGGTAGGTTTAGGGGCGGGATTAGAGGTAGGTCATCAGACCAATCAGGGATGAGTTCCCTAATGAATATTGATGAGTCTTCCCCTACCATCCTGTGAAACTTCCAGGGCGCGAATAAAAGTTCTCATTTTGAAAAATACGCGGGATAATTTCTTGTTTGTGTGCGCGAACGTGTCTATCTCTACACTGTCTGTGAGTATTTATTTTAATATATGCCTACTGAATATTCTGTTTGTAGAAATGTAGAATAGTATTATTTTTCCGTGCAGTCACACAATATTTATTTATATCAGCAGTAATTGCTCGAATAGTCTCTATTTAGCTCTTCTTCTTTTTTTTCGAAATTCATTGTAAAGTTGGTTGACAGATGTAGAAGGGAGTAACGTTATTGTTTGGACATTATATGCTTTCAGACTTTGAGTGATGGGGGATTCACGTTTAATACTATGTTTTTAGTCGCCTATATTTAGCTAAATTGAAAAAAATATATGATTAACGTGACGGAGGAAATTAATTTATGCTGTAACTTTTAGTGTATATTTTATTTGACATAAATGCTATTTTTAATAAGTCAATAAATTAAAAAAGAACTAGACATTAATACCGATCGTCGTTGAAGCTGAACTTGACTCAGGAAGGAAGTTGACAGAGGAAACGTGGGTCTGATGACATCATTCTTTCTTGTGTTTCAGGGATAGATTTTATGTGGTGACTGGAATAAGTTTCGTAATAATTTAAACAAGTTCTTACATGTGGGCCTCAGGAAGATTTTATATCATTGAATTTTACAAAAATTAAATGAATTGTAAAGCTAAAACACAAACATCAATATGTAAACTGAAATCAACTTTTTTTCCCTCTCAATAATTTTTAATTGAATTAGAATCTAGAATCTATTGGAATCACAAAACAATTTATGGTTGATTAAATGTATTTCATCAACATTAAGTTTCTGATAGTAAAAATGTCAGTATATTGATTGTTGATTATTGATATTGACAGTCCTATATGGTTGTGTATTTATGTCACTAAATTGATCATGCTCTAACAACAAAAATATAACTTTTTCTTTTTTTCTTTTCTTTTTTCTCTTAGAACATTTCAAAATGAGGATTTGTAAGGGGACATCAGATAAGCAGTGAGTGGACTTCTGATGCTGATGATGCCAACTGACTTATTCAGTTGGCATCATGCTGAATTATTCAGAAAAAATAATAGGATGTTGACTTTCATTCATTTTTTTAGTTTATGACACAATGTTAGCATAATTGTCTCTCTAACCTTGACAGTGGCCTTGTGGCTGTTATCTTTTTCTTGTTGGGAATGGGAACTCTTCTTCCATGGAACTTCTTCATAACCGCAATGAATGTAAGACAGACATACTTTTACTGATTAATACTTAAAGTGTCATGAAACTTCATGACAAATCTTTTTGAAAAATGTAACTTAACTGTCTGGTTACTCATATTCTTCTAAATATCAGAAAATCGTCTGAATAAAATGAGCCTGTTTCCAAAAAAAGTGGAGTATCCCTTTAAAGCTGCAGTCTGGAGTTTTTCCTCTTTGTCGCCATCTCTGTTCGTAATCTGCGATTGCAGTCATTCACGGAGTTATCAACTTTACGTGAGTTGTACTTCGACACCCTCGACAAGCCACAGCGTGGATGAACACAATGTTTGAGGAGAGTGTTCAGCTGTCAGTCACCGCCGGTGTGGATACTGGCATTCAGAATCACAGATTATTCTTTTTTGGAAGTATGACCAACAATTTTCACAGCAAAATGTCATCTGAACTTGTACGAAACATCCACTTTTTTTCTGGTTCTGACATTGCAGTAAATCGCGCTGATTAAATCTATTACGCAAAACCTCGCAAACTATACTTTTAGATATAAAATGTATGACAAATAAGGGCGCTTAACTGTGATTGACAGCTGATAACGGGCTGAGCCGAGTGAATTTGACGTCTCGGCCAGGATCTGACACAACACCATACATCATCATACCACCTCTGTATCCATTCTGAACATTTGTATTGTATTTCTCAAGATTTTCTAATATGGCGCGGCGCCACCCCATAAACAGCCTCAAAACTGTTCTTCAGAAAGTCTATGGGTGACGTCACAGACGCTTTGTCCATATTTTATGACTCATGCTCCATTCTCTTCTGTTTGCAGTATTTCACTGACCGTTTGAGAAATGGTACAGATTCTTCACAGCCAGACCCATATATGTTTGATAACATGAGTGTGTTGTTAGCCCAGCTTCCCTTGCTGCTATTCACACTTCTCAACTCCTTTCTATACCAGCAGTGAGTACTTGGTTCAGTCAAGCAAAGTTGATTTTGTTTACTTTTGTTGTATCGGTACAGAGATGTATAGGTCATATTATAATCATGACTTATTTTGTTCTCTTTTGCTTACGTAGCATTGCGGAGAAGATGCGGATTGCGGGTAGCATGGCCTCCATATTACTTCTCTTCATTCTCACAGCCATTTTAGTAAAAGTTAAGATGGACCAGGACCAATTCTTTTCCATTACCATGGCAACGATCTGGTTTATTAACAGTATGTTTCTTATGCCTTACATCTACAGTATGTTCGAATTTCCCTTATCACTTCATATTAAATAACAGAGGATTATAATATATCCACTCCACTTCTACTTTCAGTGAGTGAATCACTTAGACAAATCTAACTCCCTTCGTTGTTCTTGCACTTTTTTCTCTTAGTGTTTGGGGCCATTCTACAAGGTAGTCTGTTTGGTCTGGTCAGTAAGCTGCCCCCGAGATACAGCTCCCTGTTTATGAGTGGACAGGCAGTGGCAGGAATCTTCTCGGGTCTTGCCATGCTGTTATCGAATATCTGTAAGTACCTGCACACTCCTTACAAACTGAATGATAAAAATCATAATCTTCTGAGAGAAAAACATTTATGCTGACCGTTACGTTTTTATGCCTCCCCCTCCTTTAGTTAAAACCGACTCTGAGAGTTCTGCCCTTGGATATTTCATTACCCCCTGTGCCGCCACTCTACTTACTTTGTGCTGCTATCTCATACTTCCGCATCTGGTAGGTGCATTAGGTCATCATAAATTCTTTTTACTTGTCACTTACTCACCCCATGTAATCCAAGACGTCCATGTCTTTCTTTCTTCAGTCAAAAAGAAATTAATGTTTCTGATGAAAACATTCCAGGATTTTTCTCCATATAATGGACTTCATTGGGAACCAAACGGTTTCAGTGCAGCTTCAAAGGGCTTTAAACGACACCAGACAATGAATAAGGGTCTTATCTAGCAAAACAAACGGTCATTTCATAAATAAATACAAAAGTTAAAAAAGTTTGAATGAACAATTCTTTTTTTGAGTCATTTGGTTCATTCAACGAACGAAATGACTTGAAAAAAGATTTGTTCATTTTGATGAATGAGTTTGAAGAGGAGAGTCACAAACGCTGATCACAGAACAGAGCAAGGTGACCATTTGTGCTTCTAAAACTTAAACTTTTGTATTTATTTTTGAAATGAGCGATCGGTTCGCTAGATAAGACCCTTATTCATCGTCTGGTGTCGTTTAAAGCCCTTGAACAGTTTGCAGTTTGAACTGAAACTGTCTTTTGGACCTTGAACCGTTTGGTTCCCAATGAAGTCCATTATATGGAGAAAAAATCTGGAATGTTTTCATCAAAAACCTTAATTTCTTTTCGACTGAAGAAAGTCATGGACATCTTGGATGACATGGGGGTGAGTAAATTATCAGCAAAAAATGTTTTTAAAGTGAACTACTCTTAACTGTTGAAGGTCACCAACACAGGTAAAAGCATTTACTCCTCATTTAAAAATGGCTCTAAGATATGAAAATAGTACATTAATAATATTCAGATTATTTTTGTTATTTTGTATAAATGAAATTCCTTATTATATTTCAGAGATTTGCCCAACTTTATTTGGAAAATGTGTCCCCTAAAACTGCAGAGACACAGAAAGAGGCACCAGCAGATAGTTCTGGTATGTCATATTGCTAAATTTTCCAGTGTTTGGACAAACTACAGCAAAGACATTCACTATTGGTTCTTCTAAATCCTGAATAATATTTGTTATTTTTGTTGCTACAGAGATGGCAAAAATGAAGTTAGATTATGCTGACAATGGATTCAATATCATTGGTGAAACTGAAGCATGTACAAAGCAGAATGAGCTCCAACAAGAACCTGAGGAGAAGTCAACTGTGCTACAGGTCTTCAAAAGGGTATAATGAAAGTATTTTGTTAACCACCATCCCAGTTTCAAACCTTTTTTTTTATTTTAAGACAAGTATTAGTAAATATCTGGATTTATTTTATTTATGAACTTAATTTTTTTGTAGATATGGGTGATGGCATTTTGTGTGACATGCGTGTTTACCGTCACACTGTCCGTTTTCCCGGCAATTACAGTAAATACAAAATCTTCTGGCTTATTTGAAGGTGAGTCTACAAAAGAATATAATTATACATTATGCTTTTCAAAGCACTTTGATTTATGTTCTTTTTCATCTTATAGAGAACATCTTCATACCTTTGTGTTCATTCATTGTCTTCAATGTGATGGACTGGATAGGCAGAAGTCTCACTTCTCGTTTTCAGTGGGTGAGTCTCATCAGATCCTGTATCAATCAACACAATACAGCGCTATGATAATGATTACCACTGCTGCTGATTATTCTTTATCTAACATCTCATTTTTCTTTTCCCAAATTCCCAGCCTTCGATGAGGAGTAATTTATTCCCTCTTTTCGTGGTATTACGGGTAGTTTTCATTCCTGCCCTCATGCTCTGCAACGTTCAGCCTCGCTTCTATCTTCCAGTCTTTTTCAATCATGACGTGGCTTATATTATCTCCATGTCTTTGTTTGCCATCACAAGTGGATATTTTGCCTGCCTCTCCATGAGCTATGCTCCACAGTAAGTATAACATCTTTTTTTGAGATTCAAAATTAACTGGGTTAAGTAAATAGTACATTTATTCCTGGTATTCTCAACCCATTGACCTACATAATATTTCTCAGAACACTCATAAACTCTTCTGTTTATTTTTTTATCTAGGCTGGTGAGGCCTAAAGATGCAGAGACAGCAGGGGCTCTGATGACCTTTTTCCTGGCTTTGGGACTCTCTCTGGGTGCCGCTCTCTCCTTTGGCCTTAAAAAAATTCTTTAGGGAAAATCTCACAAGCTGACACAAACATGTTTCGAATGAGAACTGTCTGAGGCCTTTGTATATTTATATTTCCTCGTTTAATTCAACTATTCTCTGGACTTTATAGTCATGATTTTTAATATCTCATTAAGGAAAGAAGGAGAAACAAATTTAGATACCATAGATGTGAAGGTTTTATCTTAATCTTATGGGGTATTTATGTTCCTTCCTTTCACTTTTACATTTCCAAGGGATGTTTTTTTAAGGGAAATATTTCACTTTTAACATGTTTTGTTTTGTTTTTTATTACATTTTTGATATGAAATTCATGAATTGTATATTTATTATTTTATTGGTTGTGTTTTTTTTTTTTTTTACATTCTTTGAAATCTTTTAAGTTGTATCTTGGGGCAGCTATTCACCTTTTATATTTTGTACACTTTTTTATTTGTTTGTGTATGTGTTTTTTTTATAATAAAATGTAAATATATAAACGCTTAATGTGATTAGTCACTTTGACCTGTTGGTAACAGCTGAAGCCCTGCATAAAAATTAAATACATAGATTAGATTAGATTTTCTGGTGCCTTATGTGGAATTTTGTGGGGTTGGCATGAATTGTCATGAGCAACATTACTATTATATTCTATGCATAATGAAAAACTTTACGTTAGCACTCAAGACCAATGAAATACGCTTAGCATATATTGATGTTTTCATATACTGATTAAATCTAACATGAGTTTTTCTTTATATGTACATGTATGTATCTATGTGTGTATATATATATATATATATATATAAATGTGTATACACACAAATTATATAAATAAAACACATTAGATGAATCTATTTGATAGCAATAATATATGCTTATATATATTTTAAACAACAAAATACACAAAATTAGATATTCTTTAGGATCATTTATTTTTCTTCCTCCAAAATGTAAGCCATTTGTATGAAGGGAGAGCAGATGTCTCTTATTAACTGTCAATGTGAAGAATGATGTTCTGACAGGTTTTTGTACTCTTCAATCCTTACTGGCTTGTGAAAACTTTTCACAGCATGAGGGACAGACCACTAACAAGGATCAAACAGCAATTGATGGTGTCCCTCATCATGGGATGTCAACTGGTGACACCCAGTACCAAATCATTGCAGCAAGGCCATCCATTACATCTGACATTGTTCTTGGAGTTAGACGTTTAAGGGTTTCATGAATTTAGGGGAAGGGTATACTATAGGTGGTGGATGTGACAAAGGGCTCTACAAGTCACTCTCTCCATACAGGGCACTGGAGAAGGAGATATAATCAAGGGAGCCTGGGGGAGCATCGCTGCCCATGTACTTGGTCATGCGGCTGATACAGTATTCGGCTTGTTCTGGGGGCAGCTCCCTTCTCAGCTCCTCCACTGTAATGTATGCCTGTAGAATGTGGTAAAAAATGGACGCTTAGACAACAGGAGCCATATTTAGCAGATTCTCATAAAGCACATAGGTTTTCTTGGTGGTTCTTAGTTTGGAATTACCTTGTCAGAAGCTAATATCTTGAAGGAGGCCACAACTTGTTCAGCAGTGTCAGTCTCTGCCGTCTCCCTGGTCATGAAGTCAATAAAGGCCTGGAAGGTGACAACTCCTATGTTGTTGGGGTCCACCAGAGTCATAATGCGTGCAAATTCAACTTCACCCTAAAATAAGGGGGGGTTATTTGAGAAAGAATTCCTTAGAGAGAAAGTTGATTATGTGTCCTGGTATTTCTGAATTATATTAAAGCAGCAGGAAAAAGAAAAAAAAAACTGGCAGTCATATTTTGACCAGGACTAAATGCCCTCACCAGATCATAACCCATAGAAATCAGACAGGCACGGAAGTCATCAGGATCCATCATGCCATTCCTCTTCTGCAAATACAAAAAAGTGAGGTGCTTATTCTACAATTTGGACAATGTTGCACAACTTTGTGTATTCTAAGTAGAAACAAAAGACTCCATGTATTGCAAACCCGGTCAAAGTGGTTGAATGAGGCTCTGAACTCATTCAGCTGCTCCTGGCTGATGCCCTTAGCGTCACGGGTCAGGATCTGGTTCTCAATCTCATTGATTGTGCGGGCAATAGTGGTGAGGAGCTGCTCCCATCCCACACGGACATGCTGAAATGTACATAATAGGAAACATGCCTTGTAGGTAAAATGAGGTTAAAGGAACTTGGTGGAAATGGACATCTATATAAGACACCTTAGCTAATGACACTTGAAACTTCAAAGAGGAAATACATTTCAGAATGAATACAAAATAGCTGGTCGTCAGTACCTCCATAGTGTAGTTGGTGTGCTTATTGTCAAAGATCAGTCCCTCCTGGCTGAGCTGGTGGTCTCCCTCCAGTTTGTCAATATTGGATTTGTAATTAATGATGTTCTGTTCATATGTTTTCAAATTGCCCATCTGTTCCTCAAGGGAACCGGAAATGTCAATTGACACATGGCTGATCTCCTGTTGACCATAAGGAAGATTATTTAAGATATTTTTAGTTTTCACACTGTATTATGTAACAACTTCAAATGTGAGTAAGGTGTATGGTGAAACACCTCCATCTTGGTCTGAATCCAGGGTCCAATGATATTGGCCTGACCAGCAAACTGGCGCCTCAGCCTCTCATTGGACTGTTGCCTGGCCACTTCCTCTTGCAACACCTGGTCACGCATTGGGACTAATTGCTTCACCTGTTGTTGGGAAGGAAGCAATATTTCTCAGAGGGAAATCTGAAAGGAGCTTAAAGGACTCCAAATATTGAACCATTTTTATTGCTGATTATTCTGAAATTGTAAAATACTCACAGCTTCCCATTTGTTGCTAATATCCTGTTGAGAGAGGACAGTGTAGGGATTCTCACCCACTATCTTGATCCCGTACGTCTGAGCTATCTTCAGGATCTCATTATGAATTCCTATGATGGCCAAGCGCTCCTTATCAGCTTCTGGTAAAGTGGCCTTGAATTGGTCATGGGCTGTGATCAAACTCTGAAGTTGATAAGAGCAGGAAAGAACCAAATGATGTTAAGACATTGTGCGTAGGTAGGTAGTCAATAAAAAGAAGGTCGAACAAGTGGATCTTTAGAGAAGTTAAGTGAGTTTTAAGGGAACTACAAAAATGCCCTAGGACCAAAACAAAAAGATACTGAAGCTCAGTTACACAATGTTATTTAGGAAGATAAGCATTCCTTCAAGCATTTAGTGTTTGACTTTCACCTGAATCTCCTCAATGCTGTGCACAATGAACATGTCCTGCAAATCTTCCATAGCTCCATCCATCCAGTTGTTGAAGGGCGCAGCCCTCTTGGCAAACTCCAGATACAACTGGTCAATTGTTTCCCAAAGCTTTTCCACACGCTATGGCAAAGCAAAGAGAAAGATTACAGCAAGCCCACACACTGTAAACATACACTTAATTCATACTCTTTATTGCCTAAACATGCAAAATAGTCTTAATATTTCTACATGTAGAATATACAGGGGTTGGACAATGAAACTGAAACACTGGCCAATGTTGGAGGTTTCACATCTGTATATTTCTGGCGGCCAATCTTCAGAGTGAAGCACGGGTGGATCAGTGATGGTTTGAGCTCCAATATCATGACAATCCTGATTGTTTTTGATGGACACGACACTGCCGAGGACTACCAAACCCTTCTGGAGGATCATGAGCACCTGATGCTCAAACCGTGTATCAGCATGATCATGCACCAACACACACAGCAAGACTTGTGACAGAAGGGTTTGATGAAGATGAAAGTGACGTTGAACTTGCACAGTCACCAGATCTAAATATTATTGAGGTGTTTTGAAGGAGCGAGTCCACCAGCATCATATAGTGACCTGGACACTGTTCTGGAAGAGGAATGGCTCATAATCCCTCTGGTCACTGTGAAGGACTTCTATCTGTCATTCCCATTTCCCAAGATGAATTGGTGCTGTATTTGGATGCAAAATGAGGCCCTCGCCATACTAACAAATTATTGTGTTGTAAAACCAGGTGTTTCAGTTTCATTATCCAACCCCTGTACATTGGTACCCCATTCTCAATTCAAGAAATAGACAATTAGGGAAGAGTTTTATCTTATACATGTACCTCCAGTGATTCTCTCCTTTTCTGGGTCAGGGTGCCCAGGTTGTCCCACTGGTCACAAATGCCCTGGCATCGGGCATTGATGGTGGCAGCATCATAAAAGTCCAGTTCACTAAAGAACAGCGTATTTTATGATCATTATCATTACCTACAGTAAAATCTGTAATCTGTAAGTACTTTCCTTATTTCAAGGGGCCTGAGGTGGATCTATCTTACTTGAGCTCCTGTGCAATGGCAGCGATCTGCTCCACTCTGTCCTGGTGAGCAGCCAGGTCGCTCTCAAAGGCCTCGTGTTTCCTCATCAGAGCACGGATCTCCATCAGAGAGGCTGACTCGTAGTCCTTCTGAGACAGCAGCTCCACCTTTCCTGTGTTGAGCATTACAAAACGAAATGAGAAGGAATATGTCCGTTGTCAAAGTACGGTTTAAATGGCTGACTAAAAGTTGCGCTTATTACCTGTGGTCCATGATTCATGCAAGGTCGACTTCTGCTTAAACTTTTCAGCCAGGTGGTCCAGTCTCTCTAGGCGACGGATTTCTGTGAGCAGCCACTCCTCGTAACCTTTCTCTACCTGCTCCAGACCCTTCCAGGCATTGGCAATGTCCTGCAGAAGGGGAAAGCAGGTAGAATACACTTAAACTCTATAGGATACTTGAAAGCCAAAGTCATTTAACACCATATAAATGTGTTATGAGAAAAATGGAGCAACACATACTGAAACCATTTTGCCCTCAGAAGGCATGAAAGCAGGCCTGTTGCTGAGCCTCAGCTTGGTCTGCAGGGTGTTGAAGTTGATCTCCAGCTGACACTTCTCCTGAACTTTGGGTGGCTTGTGCACACGACGATAATCCCTGAAATCCTCCAGCTTCTGTTGCATGGCATGCATGGTCTGCTCGGCCACACGGTTCTCCAACCAGGGGATAGTCCTTTGGATCCACACCAGAAGCTGAGGAGAAAATGTAAGTGTATGTTTAAGTGGGTTGAAGAAGAAACTTTGGGGAGAAGCAAGACTAGCAGGCACATGTTTATATAAGTGAACAAAACATTGTACATCTAATAGAGAATTTGAGTGTTCTCACCTCGCTAGCCAGTTTCTCGTATTCTTCCATTAGCTTCTCGTTTTCCTGATTCAC